CTAAAGAGTTGTATCTAGGGAAATTATTTTTTTACATTGAAAATGTGTATTAAAAATGTTTTTAGTATTTTATTATTAAAAAATGATAAACAAAAAAATATATAAAGTAACTTTGTCTTTTTGACCAAGGGGTCTATGTTACAAATGCACTTGAACTTTCAGGTCACTGCCATAACCATAAACCCGTCGCCTTTGTGTGACACAAACGATTTGTATAGTTAATTGGACGGAAGAAAGTGAGTGAAGAAAATAATTAGCAAGAGGGAAGAGAGTATTGAGATAGTCAAGGTAAAATTCATCTTATTGACATGAGAAAGATGGTTTATAATCTTTCTGAATGATAAAAAATAAAAAAATGGTTTATATACAATTAGATGGTAAATGAGCAATATCAGAAAGTTAATTCTTGATATCACCCATTCACCTCCTAAAGCTAATATGTAAATGTCCATAATTCATATTGAAAATTGAGATTTTTTAGACTATCATACAAAAATATTTTAATATCTACGTAATTTTTGTTTTATTTGTTAAGTTTTCGTTTTGTTTTCAGAAAAAAGCTATGAGTAATTGTAGGGATTAATTGTAGGGAAATGATGTTTATTTTGCTTTTCTAGCGTAGTCGTGATTTTCTTTTACTTTACTTTACTAAAGGAAAGACTTTCATAACTTGTGTATTTAAATAGCTTGCTGTAACACTTAAAGGTGTGCAAATCAACATTTATCATATCATTGTTGGCTCCCTCCCCGTACCTAGTTGTTGTTTTGTCTTATGTTTTTATTGTTTCGTCCTACAACCTTTTTTTTCATATATATACATGTATATTATCTATTAGAAATCAGAATTTCAATAACAATTACATGGCTTAAATTTAGGATTTTGTATATATTATTTTAACTTTTCTTCATTAAGCCAATCTTAATTGTTATCTTTTCTTAAATATTATTTTTGTTTGGTCCTACTATTTCAGGCTTATAAGTTGTTTTATTTTGAATTTCTAACATCATATTAAGAGTTTTATTAATTTTATATATTAAACTTAAACAACTATTTTAGGTGAAATCATTTTTAAGGATCATATTGATTAGTGTAATAGATTTTAATAATTTTAAAATAAATTATAAATAATTAAAAATAATTTTATGTCACAAAATAAATTATTTATCTTAAATTTAAAATATAATTTATATATTTAAAAAATTACATATACAAATTTTAAATATAATTTTATTTATATATAATTTATTATAAATTTTAACTATATATAAAACAATTAACCTGCAAAATAGACAGACTAAATTACTAAATTGTAAGAAAGAAAAAAAAAACTCAAAAACTGTGAGGAAGAGAAAAAATTAAAAAACAGTCGGAATATGAGAGAAACCCAACAGGAAAACCAACACAAAAAAATCTTCAAACGAATGGTTGCCCTTACCAGTTCAGTATAGATAGATAATTACGTGTAATTTATTTTTATAATTTAATTTTAATTTTAATTTTTAATATATCACGAACAATGTTTTTAATATTATTCCTATTTTTAAATATTAATTTAATTTTAATATTATACTTTTTAAAAATATTATAATTATAGTTTACTTATATGCTTATTATTTTCATTTAATACATTACTTTTATTTTGGAGATAACATCACTGCTTGTGATATATTTTTAAAAAAATTATATTACAATAAGTTAAAATTGAAAATTATAACTTACTAGCTAGTTATAATATACTTCTGTTAAATCAACAATAAGTCTAATAATTTATTTAAAAATAATCATTAAACTAAGTATTTTTTTTATGAATTTAATTTGTATTCTTTTAATAACATAAAAATTAAAAATCATATTTTAAATAATAATCATATTTTTGAAGGATGAAAAATAAAGAAATTTATTTACAATTACTAAAATCAAAACTCGCCTATTTTATAAAAAAAATGCACATATTTAATAATAAAAATAATATTTTAGTACAATATGAATTATTTATCATAAATTTAAAATATAATTTTAATATTTAAAAATATTCATTTATTTAAATTTTAGATATAATTTATATATTTAAATATAATATTTATTATATACATAATTTATTATAAATATTAATTATATATAATAAATATTTAGTTTGCACATCTAAAATATAAATTGTATAAAAGGATAGCTACTTTTTTTCTTTTCATTCATTCAAGGGTATCAAACTAAATATACAAGAGTTAATAAATATACAAGCCATAATAAATTACAAGAACTTTTTTGTTTTACAACAAGATGATAAAATTGACTATCAATGATTAATATATATATATATATATATAGGTTTAAATATATTTTTAGTCTCTATAAAATTGATGATTTTGATTTTGTTTTCTCAAAAAAAAAATTATATTTTTCATCCTTATAAAATTTGTAAATATTATTTTTGGTCACTGTAAAATAATTAGATTTTGATTTTGATTCCTGTAAAATATAATTTTTTATTTTCATCTCTCTAAAATTTAAATTAATTATTTTTAGTCCCTAATAGTCATTTAAGGTGGATAAATAACATTATTTTAAGGACTTATAAATTTTTTAGAAGTGTTAAATATTGATATAATATTAGTAATGGTTGTAAGTAACACTTAAGATGATTACTTAATTTTTTAATAAATAAAAATAGTTAAAAAAAGATCACATAAAAATAAGTACTAAAAATAATTATTTTAATTTTATAAGGATGAAAAATAAAAGATTTTTACAGGAAAAAAATAAAATTTGTTAATTTTATAGAGACTAAAAATATATTTATATATATATATACATCAAATATTATTTAAAGATAGCAAAAATTGATAAAGATTACAAAGTTGATCTTATATCCTTTAAAATATGGTCTAAATGTGTATTTGTTCCTTGAAATAAAACAATTATGCAATTTTAGTCATTCAATTTTTAATTGAATAATTTTTGTTCTTCAAGTATCACAATTATGTGATTTTGATCATTTAATTTTTAATTGAATAATTTTAGTTTTTCAAATATTAGAGCAATTCCAATGGGAGTTGCTTGTCCCATGAAGCAACTTAAGTCTCGATTTCTTACTATTGGAGGACTCTGACGTGGCAACATGAGTTGCTTGAAGAAGAGAGAGAGTTGCTTCTTCAAGCAACCGTTCCTTACCAGATTCAAGCAGATCTTATTGAACATATTTGGGAACGTTTCAGAAATAATAATGATAAAAATTAATTTTGTATAATGTTTATGTATTTACTATTGCTTTATTTTATTTTTAATATCTACTTATTGTGTATTTTTTCTCATAATTTATTTTCTTTCATTGTAGTGCAATTACCCTTTTTAATAAAAATTTAAAATTAGTTCATAAATGATTAGAAAAAAAATTCTAAAAGTTGAATTTCTTAAAGTTTCTTACTATTGGAGTAAATTTGTGTTTGAGTTGCTTAATACTGACATGACACACTAGAGAACACTTTTCTCATTTTTCAATGCATGAAGCAACTCAAATGAGTTGCTGCTATTGGAGATGTCTTTATAATTTTGTGATTTTAGCCTTCTAAATATCACAATTATACAAATTTTTACTAATTTAAGTTACATACATTAATAATCTCATTAATAATAAATACATATCATTTAATACATGAATAAAAATATAATATATGTAACTTAAATAGGTCAAAAATTGTATATTGTGATACAACTTAAAATTAAACAATTATAATACGTGAAAGATTAAAATTGTCTAATTAAAATTTGAGAACCAAAATTACATAATTATGATAGTTGATGAATTAAAATTGTTCTATTAAAACTTAAAAAACTAAAATTATACAATTATAATACTAATTAAAGGATAAAAAAGTAATTAAATCTTAAAATAATGACAATTAAGACAAAACAAAGTTTTTTAAAGTATTAAATAATATAAAATAAAGAATGTACATGATAAACGAGTGGTATAAAATAAACGAGTGGTACGTGAATAATAGGGTGATAGATATTATTTGTATCAGCCATTCCTCTATAGCCAACAACCATTCCAATATATGCAATGTGCATCATCCAATCCAAAATAAAAACGATGTAGTTCTAATGGATTTAAATATTTTTTTATGTAGTGAGTGTTTTGGTTAGAAAAAAGCACGTGGGGGAGGGAGGTTGGAGTGGGAGTGCAATGTTAAATGTTCAATGTTCAATGTTCAATGGGAGTTGGTTCCAAATTCCTCTCTCCTCTTCAAATATAATCCATTCTAGTATTCTCATTTCACCCATTCTTTCTACTTTCTATAAATATAATTCATAATTAAGTGAGCCACTTTTGTTATTTGGAGTTGGACATGATCGTTCAATTTTGCACTCCCTTGCATGCTTATCAGCTATTTAATAAAATCCCCATTTTTCCTATAAATATATATAAAACCAAATAGCTTCATGTTTTTTCATTTTGTTCCTAAGTTATAATTTCAATTTTCAAAGACAGACAAACATGTCCGAGAATATTCAGTCCAACTCCCATTCGCTTTCCCTTCTTCCTTTCTTCTTTCTCTAAAAGGTAAACCCCACTTCTCAATTTCAACACTTCCCACCTCAATTTCTTTTTCAACTTGCGTTTGTTTATCATTTAATTAATCTATGTAGATCTAATTACAAATCTTGATTTTTGTTTTTGATGTGTATTAATCAATGGATATATATATAGATGTGGTTATCGTTTCTGGATTCAAAATCTGTAATGGGGTTTCATCAATTCATGCCCATGCCCTTTGTCACATTGTTGCTTTGTTTTTGCCTTGATTGTTGCATAATGAGCTAAAAATCTCATATTCTTGCGAAAGGGTGTGCGACTGTCTCTGAATTTTGTGTTTTACAGTTGAAACTATGATTTTTGATTACCTGGATTTGGAAGCAATCACCTAGCTAATATGTTTTGTTATATTGAATTGGATTGCCTCTTACTCGTTTTTGTAACTAGTTTGATTGGGAGATTGGTTCATTGGATTTCTCCCCAACATTATGTTCATGTTTTTAAGTTTTGAGGGTGTAGAATATTTGGAATGGGGTGAATCTGTTTTGTTGGGTCTGCTATAGAATCATACTTAATCGCTAACTTTTGTTGTGGTGGCACCTATCACTGTTAAACACTTTTTTTCTGTAAAGGATGGAAATACTATCCTTCCGCTCACTGCGTGGAAATTTTCGGTGGAAGATGGATGGCTGGGTCTAGTTAGATCTGGTATTGAATTATAGTTGAATTGTTAAATTCCCTAGTAAAGGTGTTAACAACAAAAGTTGATTTTTTATCATAGTTTCTTATAGGGTGCAAACATTTCTTGATACATACTGCTTTGAAAGATTATGCATGCACTATGTTTTCAAATACGTCAATTTATTGCTACATGGAGTATATATTTACTTCCTGTTGTTGATTGGAAGATTATTAGATCTGTAAATATTAAATCAATTATTGGCAGACGCTGACTCAAAATGGTTGTCTTACATTTTACATGTCACTTGATTTATCAATTTGAGTTCTCTCTCACATCCTGTCTTTTTTCTTTTCTTCTTTTTTTCTCTTGCTTATTGTTCATAAGCATAAGGAGAGTTCAACTTGAATTCTGAAAGTTTAGACAGCAATGTGAAATTCATCATGAGCATTGTTATGTTATATTTCTACCCTTTTACTCGGTAAACATTTTGTATGCTTGAATTATATTAGCCAATAAATTAAACGTGTTATCTTTATCATTGAGTAAAGTCAAAAAAATTATTTCCATCATTTACACATTTATTTAGTTTAACATCTTTCCTCCTGGATTTCAGGTATGGAGTGTTTTGACATTTGGAAGAGATCATGGTGCAGTGCCTAGACGGATTAAAGCATCTGTGTGCTACTTTGATAAATTGTTGTGATGCCGATTCGTCAAAGCAACTAAGTGGTTTACAAAATCCAGAAGTTCTTGCAAGAGAGACAGTGTGTATGTCATTATCCCCAAAAATAAATTATCTTATGTTGAGTGAGGAACTTTTCAAGGGAGCAATACATCAGTTATTCATTGTTATTATTAGCAGTTCTAAATTAGCACCCATTATCATTATTTTCTTGCATCCAATTGTGCCCAAATCTTTCTTTTCGTCTTGTTTTTCCTTTTTGGTTGTCATAATATTTTGGATACAAATGTGGAGAAGACTTAGTTATGTATTTGACCATTAATGGAAAATGGTGGCCATGCAATATTGTGGACCAAATCACATAATATAGGTAGAAATAAAATATTCTATGATAGAATTAGATTGAGATTCATAATTAACACTGACAACTTGTACGATCTGAATGGGAGATGATGCTCACTCCAATATTATGGCTTTATTCCCTTTTTGTGGTTGGCTATAGAAATTATTGAAAGCCATTGAAGACTTGGGTAACAGTTAGATAGCAATGAATCTATATAACCTTATTGTTCATATTTTGAGGCTCTTGTTAAAACTAGATTCACTTGTATAGTTCACTTGTATAGACTATAGACTATTCATCTATTTTTTCTCACAAATTTCTTCTTTTATCTTTTCTTTCTCCCATTTTCATTTTTAATCAAAGGCATAAAAATATGAACTAAAAATTAACAAAAGATATTTATGTGTATTATTGTTGAATGTTGATGCAGTTAGTGTAAGTGAGATTGAAGCATTGTATGAATTGTTCAAGAAGATCAGCAGTGCAGTGATTGACGATGGACTAATTAATAAGGTTTTTGTCATCTTTTACTCCATCCTTTTATCAGTTTGTAATGAAGTTGTGATATTTGTATTTTCAACATTTATGGACGATGCCTTTCTTCCTAATCTACCTTTTTAATCATAACATCGCAAGTGTATTATGGTTTATGTAAAACTCACAACTCTATTTTATATTTGTTTGTAAATCTAAACTCAGCCTTTTTGTTTGTTTTGATGGTTTCCTTATTTTACATGGCAGGAAGAATTTCAGTTGGCATTATTCAAGACAAACAAGAAAGAGAGCTTATTTGCAGATAGGGTGCATAGAGAATTAATTTTTTTGCTTTTTTTTTTCTTCAAACTACTCTTTACATTTCTACCCTGAGGAAAAAGGAAAAACAATATAAAAATTGTGAAAATGGCATAATTGTGGACAATATTGTCAATTTCCATAATAAAATTGGCTTTATAGATTATAGTTTGTTTTTACCATGTTACTAACTTACTATATGGCCTAATAAATGTGGCATTATATGTCGTTATAATATTTACCTTTGATTTATTAGGTGGATGACCCTTTTTTGGTAATATTTATGATCTGAATCTGGTTACTTAAAAGTCAGTTGCATACCATATACATATGATGTATAGCTTAGAAATGTCCTTTTCATGATTTTCTACTATTTGTAGGTGTTTGACTTGTTTGATACAAAGCACAATGGGATACTTGATTTTGAAGAGTTTGCGCGTGCTCTCTCTGTTTTTCACCCCAATGCACCAATTGATGATAAGATTGAGTGTAAGAATGACAAATGTTGCTTTTGCTATTTGGTCTACTTTTTTATTTGAGTTTTTGAATCGACTGGGCATTTACTGGAGAGGGATCGAGCATATGTGTTGTTTTTATGCTGTCTATTTATTTCCTTAATGCATTTGTTATTTATACCGATAATAATGCATATGCTTGTTGGGATTCCCAATTTCTAATTTTTGCAGTTTCATTCCAATTATATGATCTCAAACAACAAGGTTTTATTGAAAGACAGGAGGTAATTTTCTTTTCTTATGATGTTGAATAAATGAAGTTTTTTCCACCCATCTTGTAGGACTGTTTTTTTACTGTGTTTGGGCCACCTAACAACCAATGTGGGATAGAATTATTTGTTGGGAACTTGAATCACCCTTAACTTGCATAACTTGTTTTTCTAAGCCCACTGCATATGTATTTTCAATTATTTCGTATAGTCCAAGCCCCTGGATTGAAAACCAGTCTAATTCAAGTGTTTTCAAACATTGATTGACCATCTTAATCTAAAGCCTAAGACTTTTTTTTTTTCTTGATAAAGAGGTATAACTCCTTTGCACTAAGTTTGGATCCTATAGGGTAAAGTGTTACTTTTAGTCATGACTTCATATCTAAGACGAGGATCGAATCCTGGTTCTCGGTTAAAAAGCAGAACTATCAAACCACTTGAGTTAATTACTTTTGATAAAGCTCAAGGCTTTAACACGGGGAGAAAGAAAGAGTTGAATTATAGGTGATAACCTATTAAAGAATTAAACCATCTTATAGTTGTTTATGGTAATATTTAGGTATAGACCATATTTTGGAACAAAATTTGAAACTTGTTCTTATCCGTTACTGATGTGAGAACTAAGAAATTTTTTTATCATAGTTAAAATAACCATTTTTTCATCTTCCAGTTTTAATATCGGAAGTTATGCATTCTCAAAATTTACGCATTACTTTTTTTTGCCGCTTTAAAACTTGAGTATTTTCCTAGAATTTAACTGCAAATGAATTTAAAATTATATTTTAGAATCTTTGTACAAAAAAATGTTTCTTTCTTCGAAATTTGCTTGATACTCTGATGTGACATGTTTCTTATAGCAACATATATTTGGTAATAATTATTTATGATTGATGATATTGCCCGTAGGTAAAACAAATGGTAGTTGCCACCCTAGCTGAATCTGGCATGAACCTTTCGGATGATGTCATCGAATGTATAATCGACAAGGTGCTTCATTTATCTAATAACTTATTGCATATCAAATCTTATGTTAATTACTGGATTATATATTTGAAGCATTTGATAAGGCCCCCTTGTTTTGCTTGCTTTCTGTTCTTTTCTTTCTTTCTTTTTTTTTGTTAGTGTGAACTTTGTTCTTTATATTTTCACTTGAAAGTCCGTGGAATAAAAGCAATATTACGAAGGATGTGAATTATAGTATATGCGATGCATCATGCATGAATACTTTGGAAATCAGTTACTTCATTTTTATGTTTACTGTATGCAGCTAGTTCCGTTATTTTCCAGATTTAAGTATACATGTTATTTCTTTTGGAGCATGTTCATTCTTCATTGTATATCTCATCAGTTAATTATTAATGGGACGTTTGTGTGCACTGTATGAGATGTTTTCCTCATATTTGGTTTGAAGTTGCTACTTTATTTCTCTGCTAAATAAAGTAAACCTTATTTCAACCTTATTCTTGTGAACTTAAGTTACCAAAGTTTTGTGTGTTGAGTTGATGATGATGACATTGGTATACAAAACCATTCTTGTGGTACTATAATCTTCTCTGGTGATTTGTCACTGATAGTTCTTAAGTTATTTAGACATTTGAGGAAGCTGATACTAAACACGATGGTAAGATTGACAAGGAAGAATGGCGAAATCTTGTCTTGCGGCATCCATCCCTTCTAAAAAATATGACTCTTCAATATCTCAAGTGAGTGTTTTTTTCCCGTTACTACCACTATTTGGATTTTGAAATTCTCTCTTTAGTTAAGGAAATGCTACCAATCATATTTGGATGTGTTTTGTTGAAATGAGTCATAATATTATTAAAACAAATGCTACCCAATGGCCTAAGGCACTATTTAAACAATTAATAATGATTTTTTTTATATTAAAAACTGTTATTAATGCCCTTCACCGTGACTTCCATTACATTTCCAACGTGATTTTCAAACAATTTTTTCTACTATTGATTTATTAACCAATGTCTTAAGGCCAGATTCATTTTGTTACCAGTTCAAATCGGATAGCAAGACCCAAATATTTAATCTATAATCTCTACTATTTATTTTATCAAGGTCTAGCATCCAACATCTGACTTAAATTGTTTCCCTGGCAGAGATATCACCACTACATTTCCCAGTTTTGTTTTTCACTCACAAGTTGATGATACTTGAGGCAACTACATCATCCATGTTAATTTCAGCGTTCTTGACTTGGAATAATCTTCAATATGGTTTGTGAGTTATGGGGCTCTGTGTGAACGATTCACCGAGGGAGAGTGGATATGGACTTTGTTTATATTTTCATTATGAGTAGAACTTCGTGTTTCCGTTTTTGGATGGATGAGATTTGTAAATTGAACAAATGAATGTGATTATTTATTTAATTCATTTGAGAATAAAAGGATAAAAATAATAGAATATTCATGTGTTTCAGCATTAGCACCTTGAAATTAATTTTAGTGAGAAATATGTTTAGCATGAGTCTTGTGCAATGGCTTTAGCAAGCTACGAAGAGCTCTTAGAGCACATCCATGGTTGAGAATTTCATCTCCAAAAAACTTTAAAGCGAACCTTGCCTTTCCTCCTTAACAAAAGGATTATGTCCCTTTCTATTCAATTTCTTTCGCTCTTTATATTTGCCATTATTTTGTCCAGGCCATTGGTGATAAAAAAGAACATTATACATGAGAGCAAATATCTTTAAATACTAATGAGAGTAATATCCGGTGAAAGAGTCTAATTCACTACTACATAATAAACCAAGATTTTTTTTTTGAATTTCAAGTTGAATATGCAATCCAAAACCAGCGAGGGTCCTTGTTATGTCATCAAGACATTTTAATACCATTTAATTAATTGTTTTAATCGATGTTTAGTTTTCAACCTGAAATTGTAATTTCCTCCATGTTTATCATAGGCTTGTAGAATATCATGTGAAGTCAATGTTTACATATATATGCCAACCATAAACAATAAGCATTTTTTTAGTATCCATATATTTTCCTAGTACCCATATTATTTATATTTTTTTTTTGTAGCTGATATTGTATGAACACAAAGTAGATATTCACTTTTAATGTTTGAATTTATATTTTAAAAGCAATAATTAGCAAAATTATACTAATATTGCACAAAAAGAATAACTTTTCAAACTCATGAAGTCACATTGTCATTATAAGTGTGAACAAAATTTGGGTCCGTGGCTGTCTTATCAACAGCATTTATTCTTACTTTATTGTTTTGCTCGACAAGTTTCTAGCAAATTTTGGAGCTTTATACTTGTATGCTTGTATGGGTACTGCCATCACTGGATTCCTTATTTTGGCATACAAGTTCCTTATTTATTTAATTCCATCCTTTTTTATTTCTTTTAAATCAAATCACGTCAATTATGATATCAATTTTAAAGTGACATATAATCTGAGAAAACGTTTTTTTTTTTTTTTTTTTAAGTTTATATAAAAAGTAAAAAATAAAAATTATTTTTTATTTAAATTTTTGCAAATAAGAAACAAAATAAAAAAAATGTTTTTCCCCCAAAATAAATTACCTCCAAGTCAAATGGTAAAAGGGTTTGATTCTAATTTTAGTTGTAAGAAGTTAACCAAATTGGGTGAATCTTTGAGAATGATGAACAAATTTGATTTCTAAATGTGTATACGGTAGAGATAAAATTACTTAATTTCTCTTTTAATTTAATGGCGAGATTTTAAAAAAAAATCGTCATTTTTACAAAATTTTGGTCAATAATAAAGTCAAGAATCGGCGTTAAAGAGGATATAATTATAACCAAAAAAAAAGAAAAAAAGTATGAATGTGTGTGGCATCATTTCTATTTGAATGATAACGTTAATGTATAAGTTATTGGTTTTACAAAAACAAGGGTCAAAATGAAACCTGAATGGCACGTCTTACAGTCGAAATTTCCAAAGTATGGAACCAAGTCGTTGGTGAATGGTTAGTGATGCTAATTAATTAAAAAACGATGACATTTCCTACAAATTATCAGGAAAGTCCGGTTGAATTTCCGTATAAAGAACTAAAACTTTACACTTAGCGGATCAATATAAGGACAGTTTGAATGTTAAAGGTTTAAAAGAAAATCCTTCTTAAACGGGCTTTTGGGCATGGGAACCGCACAATCAGCAAACCGCACAAGGTTGTTTCCCATTCTTCCTTCAGCCCGATATCACCGCCTTCCTCATTCTCCTGCTTACTTCGATCAACCTCTTTTGCAACACCAAAACATCAAGGTATATACTCTTTCACTCTCCTAATTACACGTTATCTTAAGTTTCTTTGGTTTACCTTATAAACAAATAACAAATTATATCCCTCTTTTTTAAATACAATATCATAAAAACAGATTATTTCACATATAAACTAATTTAACTAATTTTAGTTTGACAAAATTTATTTTAATTTTTCTTCTATTTTTTTTTTCTATGAAGAAGTTAATTCAACCATATCCTTAATTTTCTTAACTTTGATGATAGGATAGTATCACCAGCACTAGAATCTGTTGAATTATTATTGTCTTTCTTTTTGTGCAGTTCACAGAAATAGAAGATCAAGTTCAAGCTCATTGGGAAAAGTCTTCCTCTCTTGAGAAGGAAATTCTTGGATTGAAATCCAGTTTCTCTAGACTCGAAACAATGATGCAAAATAGTGTTTCAAAACTGCAATCAAGGCCAGCCTCAGAGGCCAAGGTAATAATAATAAGCTAATAACTAACAAGACTTTTTATGAATTTGATATCCTAGTTTTCTGTTTTGTTATATGACATGGATGTGAAAGACTTTTTATTATGTGACAGGTCACTGAAGGTGAGAAACAAGAAGCAATGACCAGCCTTAAAGAAAAAGTTGACAACTTGAAGAGAAGTCTTGATGGGGAAATTAAGGGACGTGAAGCTGATAAACGGACTTACAGTGTTGTGAGTTTAACCTTGAGTGAAATTTATCATGTTTATTTCTACTAAAAATAAATATCTTACAGAAAAATCCTTCAAAATACTTATAAATTATATCTAAATATGTTGATAATCTAGTTTCTTTTTAAAAATATATTTTTTTATCAAAAGAACATAATCAACTTTTACTTATGAGATTTTTATTTATAAAAAAAAATTGTGATACAAAATCAAATATTGATATTATCTTATTCTAAAAATAAGGAAACAAATATTAAAATAATCAAAAAAATTAAATCTAAATATTTAAAATATAAATAAGAGATTCTTATCAAAATTAATTTACTTTTTTTTAAGGATATTTAGGCATATTTCTAACATTTCTCCCTGACTGAATATCTTTATCATCTAATTTGAATTGAATTTCAAAATCTATCTTTATTCTTTTTTATTGGTTTCTTCTTTTTATTTTTCTTGTAATTTTTGTTGTAATCCTTCTTAAATGGGTCCACCTTAGCATTTGTCTCGAACTTTTCTTTTGAAGATGGTTTCTCATCATCTTCATTCTCCTCTTCATCATAAAATTCTTTTGAAGACATGCATCTTTGAACTTTTCACTTGTATCTTCAATTATAATTGGCTTCTTCTTCTCCAAATTTAAAGTAAAATTCTTCCCTTTCATATGAACATTGAACACTTCTTTGTTGTTTATATATTTAATTACACAATTTTTATCTTCAAATAACACTTTATAACCTTTTTCCAACAATTGAGCAACATTCAACAAATTTTGATTAATCTCAGGAACGTATAAAACATCATATATTAATAACAATTGTTCCCATGCCTTTTGGTGTACTTCATTCATCATTTGGACTTTAGAGATATGAGTTTCGTTGACTTCTTTAAAGAGATTAGGATGCTATATATTATTTTGTTTATTGTCATGGAACAATTCTTTTTTCTTGTTTTTGTCACCATTGTTGTTCTTCCATTTGGCTAAATATACACCCACCACAATTCCTCATTGTCTCATAAGTCCCCTTAATTTGTTCTAATGCTTACAATGCATGACCTTTATGTTCTCCAAGATCACTATTGAAGCTTCATATCTTTTAGATATAGTTACTAGAATTTTTTCAATAATTCTATAATCAAGAAATTGTGTTCCTAGTAACTATACCTTATTAGCAATGTCAAGCAATTTATCTTAGTATTGTTTGATTGTCTTAGTCTCCTTCATTCTTTATAACTCAAATTCTCTCATTAAATTCAATATTTACATGTTTTGAATCCTTTCATCTCCAACATATTATTCCTTTAGGTAATTTCAAATTTTTTTTACGGATTTAAGAGTCATGATCCGAGTGAAATGATCCCAAGGAAAACATTGTGAAACACACGCAAGGAGACAACTCTTTTTCTTTGCCTTCTTGATTTTCCTTTCTTTGTAATTTTCATTTGGACTACGTTAGGATTGTCTGGCAACACAAAAACCCTGAATCCTAAACATCAAAGATATAAAGCCTCTATGTATGCCTCCATTCTCATTGTCCAAAAATCATAGCTTTCTCCATCAAAAATAGGTGAGAAATTTGTAAAAAGTTTGTTTCTATTTCATTTGCACAGGTCGTAACCTTGGTTCTAGATACTAATGATAAGTTATTTTATATTTGTATTTTGTAAAGATATATATTTTTTTTTATCAAAGTAACATAATCAAATTTTATTCATGAAGTCTCTATTTATATATAAATAAAAAAAAAGTTGTGATACAAAGTCAAATATTAATATTATCTTATTCTAAAAACAAGAAAACAAATTCTAAAATAAAAAATAGATTAAATCTAAATATTTGAAACATAAATAAAATATTTTTATCAAAACTAATTTATTTTCTTATACTTATTTAGGCATATCTCCAACAGTTTCTCCTTTCATTGCTTTCTCAAGTTACTCTTGTCTTTTATGTTAAATCACAGGGATTCTCAAATCAAGGAATGGCCTTTAAAAGGCTAGAAGAGAAGAATATTGAAGTGGAGAAAGAAATTGTAGAGCTGAAAGCCAGAATTGATGAGATGACATCTACCATGGTTGGAATGGCTGCTGTTATTGCTAATGCTGAGTTAAACCATGAATCTCATCAACCAAAGGTGCATCTTAAAAAGAAATATACGTAACTGTTCCGTTTTTGAAATTTACCCCTTTCCTTGTAATTAATAATTTACTTTTGTATTTCAGGAGACAAATCAATCAAGTGAAGTTAGAATAACAGATGTGGGGATGATAACAGTTTCAAAGGGAGGGCTTTACATCATTCTCATATTTTTAATTGCAGTTCTCATTGGTCTCAATCTTTGACCAAATTTGTGTTTCCATTCTGCACAACAGCAGCATGGGAAGGACATCTAGTGCCTTGTTGCTCTCAGCATTTTTTTCCCCTGAAGAAAGCTTCCATAAAATGTTTCAAGGAACTTTTAAAGTTACTAGGATTGGATTAGTGGCAAGGAGTTTAAGTAATTTGTATATGATTATTACTTCATATTTCGTTACCATTATTGGAAAAAAAATGATGAAAATTTTTCTTATGTATAATGCCTTTTTTATTTAGTACTGTTAATGTGACTGAGGAAGCAATGACATCAATTATTCATGATAGTGGAAAGGAGTGGAGAAAATGAACATTCAGTCGTTAGTTTTTAGATCCTATTCAACATGAACTTGGATGTTGTGGCACGATAAGAAAATAATAATCAGATTCCCTCCCTAAAGGCTAAATTAGGGAACTTATCTTAACAAACGATATCTGGTTATTTTTGGAGATAAAACATGGTATAAAAACTTAGAAAACACCTTATTAGGTTTGTTGTGTTATTTGGTTTGATTTTCTTTGAAGCTGGATGAAATTGCGCTTATTCTCTTTAGTTTGAAAAATTATACCAATCTCTCGTGCTTTTTGATTTTTCACAAAATAAGTCTCTTTTGAAGCAAAGTTCTTTCAAAGTAAGTCTCTAAGTTAGAAATTAGAAGTCACTTAAAGAAAAACAAATGATAAATGGTGTGTAATATTGAATACTTTGGTGTTCAGATCATCATCATCTTTTGTATTCTATTATGATACAACAACTAAGTCCTATGCTGGCTTACAAACCAAGAATGCAGTTGAATATTTTCTAATATACTATTATTATTCTACTTTGGTGTCATGGTATTATTTGCCCACATTTTTATCAGATCTCTTTTTTTTTTTTTTTTTTTTTTTCCCTTTTTGAATAGACTTATATCCAGCTATTCTACTTGTGACTAGTACTTCTAAGTTGTCGAAAAGGGGACAATGAAAAACCCACTAATGAAACCTTTGAATCACATTGAAAGAGGAAAGATCATCTGTAATATTAAAAGTGCCACTAGAACCCACCATCGATATATAATCTGAGACTGAGATGCAGATGAATCAGAACCTTTATCTGTGACTCCCACAAGAAAACGACAGTCACCAACCGAAGGGTCTCGGGAAGTGATCATACCAAGCCCATCAAAATTGCAGCTTCGTGAGTCTTGCATTTGCAGCTGATAGTAACTGTTAAAAGCATATGAGATGTTACCCTTCTCTCCAATTCCATTACACGAGCCTCCATAACCAAGAGTGGTGCAATCCGCCACACTGCATGCAATTCTCATATAGTTTGCTACATTTTGAGTATCACTAGAGGGGCTTGCCACACACCATCTAGATGGAAGATACTGAACATTCTTTGCATTCTTCAACTCCTTGTTTCCAAGACCAAGGTTTAGCGGGTACTTAGCTTGGCCATCAAAAGAGAATATCCCCCAATGTCTTTCAAACCCCCCTGGCAGAATGCTCTTTGCTCCTTCATCAAGCAAACTGAAGATATATATGTCCATAGGAGGGGCACCTGGCCTCAAAGGGGTCCCTTTGTTACTTAGAACATGACTGATTAGACCTTGATTGAAAACCTTTGCTGCAGTGATATTTGCACCAATGGCTCCATCTGAGGGCCAACCAATTTCCCCGATAACTATAGGCATTTGACCATATCCAAGTTTACTCAGGGCTGCAACTAAAGTGTCATAGTTTCCATCAAATGCATTGGTGTAGACATTGTTACCATCTGTGACAGGATGAGTGGTTCCCTCAAAGAATGCATAGTCTTGTGGGAAATCTCCATTGTCATAGAGGCTGAGGAATGGGTAGATATTAACAATAAATGGGGCACCGTTTGAGTTGAGGAACTGAACCAGCTGAGTCATGATTTGAGTGAGTTCAGGGCGAAATGCACCTTGGGAAGGAAGTGATGACTCGTACGCATCTGCATTGCAGGGGACAACTAGTTTGATGTAACCAGCAAGATTTGCTTTCACTAGAGATTGCTGTAGATTTTGTATAGCTGGCATCACCAAGTTCTCATATTGACCATTGTAACTCGTCAGGAATGGTTCATTTCCAACAGCAATGTACCTGTAATGTAACAACAAAAACACCAAAGGTTTAAAGGCATGTAGAAAATCAAAACATGTTAAATCTAGCTATAAGGCGCTGACTCCAAAATGTTAAAAATGAAAAAAAAAAAGCAATTGAGTTATAAACCTTGACGAGAAAATTCCATTATTAAATAGCCTAAGTAGTAAGTAGCTATATTATAGCCTTACTAGGGTTAGCATTGTTCATATTTGGAGGTTGAAATTAGTTATGCAATGCATAACTTCGTATAACACTATTCATCAACAAACACAAAAAAAAGGTGTAGCTTCCTAGGACATGGAACGTTCCAAACTGTGTAAACATTTCTTTGAAGTGAGGGCAAGGAAACATCGAATTCAGAACTTCCAATAAACATAACTAATGGGTTTACAAACAATATTTTACAGGCTAACTCAATAGTATCTTTATTATTCGGATAAATACTTTAAACTATAGTCTTCTACCTAGCATCAAGGAAGAGATCAAATTCTAGACTTAATATAATAGCAGTCAATAAAATATTAAACCTTACAATATTTTCTATTCGATATAATACCGTTGGCAGATATTTTGAATTGTTCAAAATTACAATAGTTAAACAAAAATTTGCAACTCTCAATTCATTCTTAGATCATCGAGAAACTCAAATGATCTTTTCATACCACCGCAAGAGAATATTTATAATGAGATAAGCTTTGCAGATTTTAAAACAACCGAATTCAAAAACCCATGCTATTGATGCCAAGATTTCTAAAGATTATCAGTTTATTAACAGTTTGCCAAAAGAAATTCGAATGCAAAGGAACAAAAGCACCCCAAAAAAACTTTTTGTGTGTATTTATTTATTTTTCTTCAATAAGTGAAAAAATAGAAAAATATAAGGAGAAACATAATACAGTAAGGAGTTGATCGATACTTAATAGCCAATACTATCTAGTTGTAAAAGATAGCTTTATCATACAGCAAACTTTCCTCCATGTTGGCATAACAAAACAAACCCCTCCACAGTCCACACACACTACTATTATGGCTTCAAAATGCATGCTAGACATTGTTATTTTGAAAGAGAAATGAATTGAGAGGAAACCTGATATCAGCACCAGCTTTGCCCATATAAGCAGAAACATTCTGGCGAAGCCACAAATCAGAAGAAGCAGGAGAAGTACTCAAGAGAGACAACATCTCATTGGGAATCCCAAGCATGATCTGAATCCCACTCCCCATGAGAGCCTTAAGCACATCAGCCTCTGCCTCAAAAACCTTCACTTTTGGAATCTTGTTATCTTTCAAGAGACCAACCACCGTGGAAGGTTTCAACTTGTGCAAAGAAACAGTACCCCAGTTCACTCCTATTGCTGATTCTCCCATGGGACATGAATATGATGCCACCATCCACATCAAAATTGTTGCACCCACCCTTGCCTCTAACATTCTCCCACTCAACCAAACACCATCAAACAAACACAGAATGTAGAGCTTCAAGGTAGAACCAAGCGCTAGCTTGCACTAAGCACATATAGTACTAACTGCTATCAGTAAAGCACCTGAACATGAATGAGAACTTGCTTTTTTTAGCTCAACAAAAATTACTATTAATCGAGATTTTATGGAATTACCAAAATACCCTCTGTTTCTTTCTAAATATTGCCTCACCCTTTTTCTTTCATATGTCGGTATCTATAGTCATTCATGATTGGCTAAATATCCATTTGCTCTATTGTTTATAAAGATTGTTTTTTATCAAAGAAAATTGTTGATTCTATTCTTGTGAAATCTATTTATTTCTTTTCCAATTGTTCTCAAACATCATCATTAATGTGATTTAGTATTGTTTGTTTAAGGCTTGGGTTTCCGAAAGAGGTTATTCACTTGGATAAGTAATATTCCCTTCATGACCCATTGTTATCTCATTTTTGGAGATATGTATCGTGAACTGAGTCATGACTAAAATTCGTGACTTGACTCATTTTAATATTTTATGACATGTAAACCCTAATTTCTTTACTGTAGGAACTCCCTTGATTTAAAGGTTGGTCAAATACTCAAGTTTATCATATCTAGTAAATTGAAATGAAATAGAATTCATTAATAAAATTTACAATCTTTTTTAGCCATTTTTTCCCCTCAACAATCATAGATGATAATATCACGAGAAGATGTTGCTTTTAAGTGGTCGGCAATTGAAAATATATCGTTCAACATAGGTAAATGTTAAGATGATGAAAGCAAAATTTGAAACGTTATGGTGACCCGTGACATATTATTTCAACACTATAATGACTAATGAATACGGCATGGGATGAAAATCAGATCGTTCACTTGGAAACAGAATGAGCCTTAGGATTTAGGTATAGTTAATTGTAATTATATATGGAGAGACAGGAGTGTGTAAACATGGACTTGGGGTTTGGATAAAGAGTGGATTTGTGTGAGTGTGACAGGAGAAAGAGGGACATAGTTGTAATTACCAATTAGAGAGAAGAGAATGGAAGTGCGTGTCGCCTGATAATTGTCGTTTAGCACAGAGAGGCAGACAGAAAGAGAAACAGGTGTGCTTAGTAACCGACTCATGTTTCTCGGTGGCAACCTTTCATTGGCTATTCCTCTCACTCTCACTAAATATTATTCAAATGTCATATGAATAGCAGAGAAGTGAGATTATAATGACATGTATTTATAGTTTAAAAAATGTTGCTATAACTTCATTTAGATTGCCACCAGACGGTAAGGGTACAATTAGATTGCCTCGTTGCCTACTTTTGGAGATGGTTCAGTGCACCTCTTGTCCGTTCATACACACTTTTTGGAAGCCATATTTTAATAACACAAAAAGGCAACCAGTATTTGGTAGCACACTAGTTTTATGACAAAGCAAAATTAGGGGGAACATTTTCATAGCCCAAATACGGCGAGTGATTCCTCAATTATGTACACCTTTGTTCTTATTCTCCTATCCTATCCCTCCACCTTTCTCACCACTTTTACGGAATCAAACATCAATTGAGAATTTGGGCTCATTGGCATAGAATATTGGAACCTCATTTTATACTCAATTGATGAGTAAGCTGTCTGCCACTAGAACAAAAAGACCCAAAGCAAGAGTTGCATATGTATGCTTATCACTTCCCCCCATAACCAATATTGCACATAGGAACGCAATTTTTCAAAAGCTAATTTTTAAATTTATCCCGGAGAATCACCGTCTCCTAATTAAATACCACATTTTCTGTCACGCCACCTAACACTCCTCAAAGCCCATCCATAGACTAAAAACGAATTTGGACCCAAAAAGAAAACTACAAGGCGAATATATATGAAGAAATAAAGCAAAGTGAGATTCTATGGACTTGCATGGTTGCACAAGAGTCCGGAAGGAGTTTTTGAAGATAAGGAAGAACGTTTGGAATTCATTTTGAATTTAAATTGACGTGAATTTTCAAATATAAAGTGTATGTAACTTCTGCATCAATTATAAGAATTTAAAGTGTTTGCAAAAATCACGTTTGACTGGAAGTAATGAATAATAACTTCCGCGTTAAACGTGATTTAAATCACGTAAAACGCAAATGTAAACACAGGCTTAACGTGAATTCATGTGTGGACGTGATTCACAAAATCATATCCAAAACGCACTAGTAATATTTTCCTTTTGTAATTCGTAAAGTAGTTCCCACTGAGGGGTTTCCAACCTTTCTCACACTCTGATCATCTTAGCTTCCACCTCATCAAGTTGAAAGTTTAATTTAAGGGAGTTGATCTATTGATAATTAAAATCCATCATAAAACTTTAGTTACAGAATATGCACAATCGACATAAAATTCGTACATCATCTCTCTTTTACCAAGACTCTCCAGCCAGTAGAAGAAACATTAGGACATAACATGACCTATTGACATCTTAACATAATGACAATCACCTACGAACAGGATCTCCCAACTCATTGAAAACTTTGATGCCTTGTCTTTGTCTTACCTTACCTCCTTACAAAATCAGGCTGATTAGTGACAGATCTCACCCACGACCATTTATGATCTTTAGTATCAACTGGGTTACTTGCAAGTGCCACATCTTCCAATGGAATGTAGGCATAGTTTCCATTAATAGGACCAGTAACAAATCCAGTATACCCCGCCATAACACCATGAATAGCAGAGTGTGCCAGGAGTGTACAATACAAGTTATCAGTGGCATTTGCATGAACTGCACGAATCATGTAAGTAGGATCGATGTACTTGACTGTAAACAACTCCCCCGGGTGTTCCCTGGCCCACCACTTGTTCAGCTCTGACTTCAACCACACACCAACATCTAAGAAAACCATGTTCCCTGATTCATCACGCTCTTGCTTCTGTGAATCAGTTCTGGGAATTATGTCCTGGCCAGCACCCTCAGCAACTACAAGAACTGCATGCCCATTTTCCTTCAAACGCTGGTTGAGAAATTGGAAGAGACCTCCTTCACCTTCCAAGTAGAAATCTAGTTCAGGAATTAGGCAGCAATCAACGTCACGGCTGCTGAGTGTGGCGTGTAGAGCAATGTGACCTGTGCTTCGACCCATCAGCTTCACCAGGCCTATGCCGTTGACTGCACTCTCGGCTTCCACATGAGCAGCACTGATTGCTTGCTGAGCCATCTCAACTGCTGTTTGGAATCCGAAAGATCTGTCGATTATTCCCACGTCGTTATCCACTGTTTTAGGAATTCCAACAACTGCAACATTCATTTTGCGATGCCGTATTTCATCAAATATCTTCACGGCTCCTCGCATAGTCCCATCTCCACCTATAATGTACACCTGTTAACATGCGCAACATATGTCAACCCCATTAGTTTTGCTTTTCAAACATGAATTAAATGTATTTTTTACTCAAATTTGAAACTATTTTGGTTATCGATGTAATTTGGAAAAAACATATTTCAGTGAGATCCCAATGTGATCATAATAGTGAAGTGACCATAACAGCGTATATAAGTGATTTGAGGTGATCTTACAAGTTGATTTGCGTTTTGTAAATTGAGTTTTGTTAATGTCTAGTCGTGAGGTATGTTAGATATCTCACTTTGACTGGTAAGATAGCCATAATCTTTATAGTTTAATAGAGTTGAGTTAAGACTTGAGAGCATTTGACTTTCTAAATAAAACGCAGCAACACCTAGCTACTAAAGATTATGCAAGAGAGGCAAAGATGTAATGAGAAGAGAGGAAACCTGATTGAAAGCGTGATGTTGGATGGCATCGACGATCTTGTGGAGATCAAAACCTCCTCTTGAAGTCTGAAGGAGGGTGCCACCCATGGTGTGCCAATGGCGAACGAGGTTGGGGCTGAGAGGAAGAGGGTGAGTGGAGTAAAATCCTCTGTAGCCAGCGGTGATGCCGAAAATATGAGGGACAGAGTAGAGGTTGGAGAGAGAGACAACGAGCTCTCGGATGACGGTGTTAAGGCCGGGGCAGAGGCCTCCGCAGGTAACAATGGCGGCGCGAACATCGGAAGGCTGAAAGGAGATGAGTTTGCGGGGACCGGCGCGGAGGTAGGCGAAGCGGGGGGAGGGAGAGGGGTGGTTGTCGATCTGGCGGAGAACGAGGTCGGATTGTGTGAAGTAGAAGGCTTGTTTGTGGGTGTTGAAGTAAGGATGGTGATCGAGTGGGTTGGGGTGGCTTTGGAGGTTAAGGTGAGGAACTTCCTTCAGGAATATGGGCTTGAACAACTCCGATATGTCATTGTCTGCCATGCTAACACACCTCTACACTCTACACTCTACACTCTACACTCTACACCCTACTCTCCCTTCCTTTTCTATTTCAACTAAACAACACAAGTACTGTACGTGGCCATCGCTGCCTTCATCCTTTGACACGCATTACATCTTCTGCGCCCTTTTTTAGACACCTCTCTACACTCTCAAATTTTAAATCAATTATTTTTAAAATAGCTAATTATTATATATTCAACCAATGTTATCATATTTTAAAAGAAATTTTGATTCTGTAAATTTTTTTATTGTCAAAAAAATACACGAAACGCCTTACTAGTCCCCAAAATAAAAGAGTGAGACACATGCTACCTGAATTACTAGCTTTTTTTACCAAATTATTAGCTTGTTAGGCCAACTCGATTTGATCAATTCAGTTTCTGGTCAACTAGAATGTGACTTATACCAATCAGATTGTCGCGTGTTACCTGCGCACAACTTACAATTATTAAGTTCCCTAACTACTAATCGAATGGTGTTAAAAAAAAAAAACTACTCCCTCCAATTTTTTTTTTTTTTTTTAAGTTATGCACAAAAATTAAGACAATAATTAATATTTAATTTTTATTACATATTTTTCTGTTATACTTTTTAAGTAGTTAAAAAAAATAGATACATTAAAAAATAAATAGACACATTATTAAGTAAATATACATTAATTATCAAAGATAAAAATAGAAAAATAATAATAAGTTATTAATTTTAAAAAAAGTAACAATAAAAAAAATAACAAAATCTGACAAAAAAAACTATGAAAAAAAAAACTAATCAGATAAATTAAGATGATTTTTTTTTGTTCGTTCATGGAGTATTCACCGCGACTAATCTCCTCACTACGTTGGAAGCACCTCAAAGGGTGGAATAGCTAGCCCTAAGATTTAACGTGACTGCATACACAAGGCAGGATTCGAACTCCTGACCTCCGCCGAACCACACGCTTGACGCTTGAGGTAAGATGTTGTTTAATAACCTACGTGAAAATATACTACTAATATAAAAATACGTATATCAATTTAGTCAAAGTCCCACAATTCAATCCAAGTCAAAACACTCTTAAAATTCATCTAAAGACCCTGGAAAGAAGGTTGCATCTTACGATTAAAATGTAAAGACCACTTTATTGCCACTTGTGTCACTACATTTTCAATTTAAAACAGCTTTTTAAAATCATTTTCAAACAAAATATTTCTAAAAACTAAAATGACATTTTTTAAATTAATCATTTAACGGAAAAAATAAAATAGTCAGACAAGAAATCCTTTAAACTTGTACTTATGAGCCATGTGTAATCCAAATAAATAAATAAATATACAGAAAATACTATTTACGAGACATGTTAGAGTAAAAATAATTTCCCACAAACTGATATTAGCCTAAGATCATTTATAAACTTTTAGATTTGAAATGACCAATTAATTTTTATATTTATAACTCATTTTAAAAGATGAAAATAAGTTTATCTAGAAATTTTCTACATGGTTGAACATTGAAATCGAAGAAACTAAATTATGTTAAAAATACTACACTATCTTTAAGTAAAAGATAAATGACTAAATAGGTAACAGTCAGTAGGTAATAATTCAAAAAATTAAAGCTAAAACCAGATCAAAACTACCGTTATCCAACTAATTTGGAAGAAATTTTTATTTCTACATTATTCTAAAGCATTTCAGAACCAAACCACATCTTTTATATCGGTGCAATAAAATATTTCTTTCTTAAATTCAATAAATATTTGTACCAATTATAATCTTTAAATGCCATTGTTAAGTGCCAACAATTTCAGATTCTTCACATCTGATTTTCACTCAAATAGTCATCAACCATCAAAGAAAAGAAAAAAATTTAGAGCATGGTTGGATACAATCCTAGAAGGACTTTTAAGAGCAGAGCTTCTATGCTTAAAAATACTCTCTATTTCAAATACAGAAGCTCTCAAAAGTGCTTTTGACTGTTTTCAAACCAGCTCTCCCTTGAAGATTCTAAAAAACATTCACCAAATAGTTGCTTAAGAATATAATTGTAGAAGGCCTATTCTATCAGTCGTTTTACTTCAATTTTCATACATAAACCCTAAATAGGTGAATGTGTACTTAGTCAATTGAAAAAAATCATCGGTGTCCTGAATTTGTGGTCTCTAAAAAATTAACTGACACAAAAACATTCACTTAATAACCTCAAGAAACTACAGTCATGCACTTTTTTCTCAAGGAACTAAATTGGGTTGAGTATTTTTCGTAGAAGGAACTGAATATGTAATTATGTAATGTAAAATATGCGACTATTTCCCGTCTCACCAACCACAAGTTCCCAGTGATTATTGATAGATATACACGAGAAATTATTTACTTATTAGAATTACATGACTTCACTATGAATACATCACAGGCCATCCCATAATTACATATGCTGATAAGGTAAAAGATGAAAAAAAATTAAGTAAAAAAAATTGCAAACTTCCAAATCCGTGGAAAATGTTAGAATTTCTAGCTACCATGACACGAATAGGGACATCATGGAAGTGCATAAAATTAGGTTCACATTCTGAAACCTAGCGTTGTTTCATGATCCAAATCGAATACCAGTTATCCAAATGAAGACCCACGCAAGGCAAGATCGCATTCATCGATTAACACAAACCATGTTAAAAGTTCTATTTTGGTAAACAAAGATGCATCAATCTTCCATGGTTTAAATAAACAAGTCAAGCTATAGATGTAGATGAAACTTAACAAAATTAAACACTAAAATGTCGATACTATTGAATCAAGTCCTGATTAAACCATATGACACGTAAATAAACATAAAATGGGTAAACCACAAACAAAATCTGATAGGAGTCGGGGATTTTGCTGAGAACCACAACAAACTGCTACAATAGATAAGAGTTTGTTTTCACTTAAGAGGAATAAACCTGGATGAGTGAGTAGCACCTATACCAGGTCTCCCGTGCTTGACGGGTTTGTATGAAATAGAGAACTCAGCGAGATAATGGCCAATCATCTCGGGTTTGATTTCAACCTGGTTGAAGGTCTTCCCATTGTACACTCCAATAATGCTACCAATCATCTCTGGCACAATAATCATGTTGCGAAGGTGAGTGCGCACTGGCTCTGGCTTCTCACCAGCTGGTGCTTCCCTTTTCTATCATCATAACCAAACAAAAGAGATCAATTATATAAACCCTAAATGCTTATTCATTTATTCAATTACAGAAAGGTATATCAAATCATGAAATCAATAAACCCTCACGAGTTGCATATAGGTATATCATTGGCAAATAATTCATCACAGATCAATCGTATAAGATAATTTTAAGAGGAACGAGTAAAAGCACCGCTTTGCGAAGCTTCTTAATCAATGCCATGGGCTTTCTGGTGAGGCCTCTCTGGAACCTTCTACGAGCGCGGGCGCTGAAGAGCTTCACGAGTTCGTCGGTGGACATGTCGAGAAGCGCGTCCAAATCGACGCCTCTGAAGCTGAACTTCTTGAACGTTCTCTTCTTCGGTGCTCCTCCTGCCGCAACATCGACCTCAACGTCTGCCTGCAATTGTAATCGCAAATGCAACAATCAGAAACAGAAATAACAGATAAAGCAAACAGATCTCAGTGTCGACAGAGGAGAAGAAGAAGAACTCACCATTCTTGCCGGCTGCTAGGGTTTTGGTTTCGAGTTTCGAACAACAGAAGGCAGCGAAATAGCTTAGAGTCTCAACTTTATCGCATATCAGCCTCTTATGCTGTAACCCTAGAACAAAATCTCACCTTAGATGGGCTTCCACTTCTACGTTTATTGGGCTTCTATGTCTGCTACTACTTACTACCCATAAAAGCCCATTCAAATCCAAATGCTTTGGAGTTTAGTTCGGCTATTCATTATTTCTTTCTTAACTCGCGCGATTCTTTGTTAAATTCTTACTGGTATTTTAGAATGTTTATTTCACACACCAAATATTTGTATAAGTAACTATTACTTATAATAAATAAATATTATATTTGAAGATATAAATTATATTTAAAGTAATTTAAATAAATATTTTAAATAGATCAATTATATTTTAATTTACGATAAATAGATATATTATTTTTATATTTATTAAAGAATATTATTTTTAATTAATGATAACTTATTTTTAAAATATTAAAATCTATGTTATAAATAAATATCATAAATAAAAAAATTAAATTAAATAGGAAGTTAAAAAAATTTCTTAATCACGTTTAATATATAAAGATTAATTTTTTAATGAAAAATCAGATAATTTTTTAATTATTATCCTATAAAAAATGAATTATGCATTAATAATTAAAAATAATCATTTGATCACAAATTATTATATATATATATATAATAAATTTCTTAATCTTTATAATAATTATCTTATAGATTATATTAACGGTAATTTTTTTAATTGGTGGATAGACATTAATATTGTATAGCCATTAAATTCTTCTATTAAAAAAATTAGACTATGCACTAATAGTATAAAATAAATCATTATATACTATTATTTATGGTAAACATATTGACTTTTATAATAATTATTTTAAAAAATTATAAAAAATAATAATTATCTTAAAAATTATTTTAAAAAAACAGTAATTATTTTAAAAAATATTTTGAAATGATATTTTTTTTATTGATTGATAGAGTGAAACTATTTTACACTAATAATCCATATCTATTAAAGACTTACTTTATTAGAATAAATTAAGAAAATCAACTCTATTAGCTTAATAAGAGAAATATTTGATGAATTGTTTATTTATCATATCATTAAGTGCGGAGCTTTATTGTTTAAGGGACATTTTGAGAAGAAAAAAAAAATATAAATATATATATATATATATAATAAATATAGTGTTTGAACATATAAATTAATTTTTATATATTAAAGATAAACTTTTTTAGGTGAAAATATTTTTTTGGATTTCTCCCCAGGGAGAACTTTTAGAAGTTTTTACAATCTCTTATTTACTTTAAATTTTATTTGTCATATTTATTTATAAATTAAATTTTAATAATTTAAAAATAAATAATTTTTTATATATTAAATAGCGGAACGCATTAGTTATTCACTATAGTAAGAATCATAGAAAAAGACAATGGTTCATTCTTAAAAGCCAATATTCTTACATCTAAAGAGTTGGGTAGAAAAAAAGGGGAGTGGGATTCATTTCAAATCTAAGTCATAAGAATAGGATTCATTTGAAATTTAATAAACAGATCCAAAAAGCGAATTTTTAGAAAATTAAATTATACTTTGATTTCTTTTATCTTATTTTTTAGATTTTTTATCCTTTATTTGTTAAAAATTCATCTTTTATATTTAAATTAATATGATATTTTTAAAATAATAATTATTTTCAATTTTGTGACACAATTTTATATAAAATTTTAACTGATTTAAAATGTAAAACTTGTAACAATATATTCACTCAATGAAAATTATGATATGTAGTTATTGTTCAAATTCAAATGTGACATAAAGTGAAAAACATATTTTACGAACAATTAGAAAATGATATTAAATTATTTTTTTTTTGAATTTTTATTTATTTATTATATTTATAATATTTTTTGTTGAATTTCAATAACATTTAATAGTTATTATATAAGTGAATCTTATGAGATAAATTCTAACTCTTAAATTAGTTTAAAAAAATTTAAAAGACTAAATTAACATAAATTTAGAAGATAAAATAACAAAAATGAACATTATGAAGGATAAAAGACTAAAATAAATTTAAAAAATAGGAAAAAGTATAATTTCACCTTTAAAAAAACATCATTTAAAACAATTGGTGACCGGTTTTAAAAAACAATACGTGACTACAATTTTAGGTGTAACTAGAAGGTTTTTGGGTATATTTGTTATCATTATTTATGACTATTGTTACTGGAGTGTATTTATGAGCAATTTTTGTCACTTATAGTGAAGGGCAGTCTGTAAGATGGAAGTAAATGTTAGTGGAAGTGTTTGTTTTATGATTATGGAGTATGTGAAGAATGAAGATGGGATGCCTCATGGCTGTTTAGTTCACAACAACACACTACATAAATAGATCATATGTATGACATTGACAGGACAGGGTTGATTAAATAACAAGTTTAAACATCACAGGCATTGTATTGCCGTATTGGTACAATCACGTAACACTAACACATGTGTAAACAAGTAAAGAAAGTGCTATCTAAAATAATATCTCAATCATAGGATTGGAGAGTCATCATGGCGTGGTTGCCGGTTGGAGGGTTTCTGCCATATGGGGCCATAGCTAGCTTACTGTCGTCAAACTCACTCAACCCCAGCCAGACCCAGTTCATCACTTTGCTTTGCCAAGTGACAGAGAATGTTTCATAAATTAGTTTATTCAATTCAACCTTATTAATTAACATTAGCCCGGGAGGGTTTTAGTTTTAACATGCCTTTCTTTCATGAATTGAGATCAGGCAAATCATTGACATAATCTGTAATTTATGCAAACGTATTTAATGATATGACCATAAAGCAAAAAAACACAACCCTCTTTCTGTGTATTAAGTGGAAAAGATTTTTATTAATTTTTAATTTTATTTTATATTTTAAAAAAGAAGACACAAAAAGATAGTCTCTCGAGGATTGTGCAAGAGCATGACTAGATACTAATATACACCACTAGCTTAAAAGTTTAAAAAAGAAATGAAAAGTAAAATCGTTATGTATATGCAGCAGCATTGGAGGGAGTACAACTATATATACATGCTGAATAGTTGTCTATAATATCTCTTCCATAACAGCAGAATTCTCTGCACTTGTACTAGTTGTTTTAAGTTGTTATCTCTTCCTGATTTTTTGATATTCCGTAAACAGATTAGTTGCTTAAAATCCCTTATCCTAACTGAATCATGATCACGATGAGATTTCCTTCATTTGCGGCATTTTGTTCAGGGTGTGACCCTTCCTTCCACTTATTAATAAGAGCTTTGTTGCATACCTTTTTCACATCCCTTCCCCGAACTCCTTTTTCAAGAGCATGGAAAAGAGCTAGCAAACTTCATTCATATTCACCTTATCTTCTCTCTCTTCTCCTTTTAACTGCATTCTCTTTTCATTAAAGAGGACTCAACCTGTCACCTTTAAAGCAAATAATATCTTGGTGAAAGCTTAGCTTAGCACAATGTGGACTGGAAAGCATTCAATTTTCCTCTTACTCTCCTTCATTCTCTTTTATGTGTTCCATGCACCTGCTTTTGCGATCAAAAAGGTTTGCTTTATGTCACTGTTATGTTATCACTCTCCCTTCAACAGTTTGGTTGCTCAACATTTTTTGTGCTTTCTTCTTTCAAGTTTTCATCTTTTTGCTTTTGTGCAATCGTTTCAAGTTTAAACTGACTAACTGGTCAATTTCTTTCTTTTTCTTTAAAAAAACTATAAAAAAAAAGTCTTACATAGTGTACATGGGATCTCATAACCATGGTGAAGGAGCCACAGATGCTGATTTTCATCGAGTTACACAAACTCATCATGAATTCCTTCAATCCTATGTAGGAAGGTACACATTAATTGAATGTATTAGAAAAAAAGAGAAACTTGCATTGCCTTGGTTCAAAGTTCAAACTCTTTTGTGTGTGTTGTAATGCAGTAATGAGAAAGCAAAAGAGTCAATAATATATTCTTACACAAGGCATATCAATGGCTTTGCTGTCATGCTGGAAGAGGAAGAGGCCGCGGAGATTGCAAGTAAGAATACCACAAATACAAAACATTGTTCTAAGCATGTGAGGAATGAAATTCCAACCTTAACAACGTTACTTGTATTGTGTGTTTGATGCAGAGCATCCAGACGTTGTGTCAGTTTTCTTAAACAAAGGAAGAAAATTGCATACTACTCATTCGTGGCAATTCATGGAGCTGGAACGGAATAATGGGGTGATTCCCCCTGATTCCCTGTTTAGAAAAGCCAGATATGGTGAAGATACTATTGTTGCGCATCTTGACACTGGTAATTTTGCCATTGTAAATTCTCACCTTTCCCGAGTCCCAACTACCTAAGCTATTAGGCCACTCATGTGCATATATTATTATTATAATGTTTATGATTATCATTACTATAATACTATTAGATTATGTATTTGACTAGAATGTGTTATGATATTATATTATTATATGTCACACAAACACAAAGCTTGCATTCCTTACGTATCAAGAGTTAAAATTGTGAAAGGTCCTATTTCCTATCTGTTCGTTCTTTCTTGTGTGCTGACTAATAAAAGTACCGTAACTTTCTCTGTTGTCTGTCATTGTGTCATTGCCACATGCATTCTTTTTATTATTTTAAAAATATGGAAAAATGTGCAATCACTATCCACTTGTCAAAAGCATCATCTGTCTTGTTTGCAGCCGTGGAAATCACTTTGAAGTGGACCCTTTTCATGTGTGACAAATCGCGGGCGACCCATTATGTTTTTTCATTATCCCATTTCAAATTGCACTGTGTCATTTTGATAATTTTCTAACTAACTATGTCATTTTCAATAATTCATGCGTTCTTATTTCTCATATACCATGTTGTTGGGATACGATATTTAGTATTTACTCAACTAGAGTACCTAAACAAATTTCGCACTGTTTCATCAGGACTACTCAACTCTTCCTTTTTTTCTACTTTTCCTTTTATCACATCCAATGTTCCATATCCCTCCTATAAAGTCTCTGCTCATAAATCCCGTGCATGAAACATTTCTGTTATTGTTTTCAAAAAGTTTGATTAAAAATTTTGTTGTAGGTGTATGGCCAGAATCTCCGAGCTTTAGAGATGAGGGGATGGGACCCATACCATCAAGGTGGAAAGGAACTTGTCAACATGATATCACCGGCTTCCGTTGCAACAGGTGATCAAGTTCTCTTGTTTCACTTAATTTATCAGTTTCCATCACATTTTCCCTGTGTATAGTCTATTCCGGAGATTACAAAAACTTTAGCCGCAAAAATATACTGTCAATTCAGCTCGTTTAAGACTATTATGCTTTGTTTATGACAGTGCTTCACAAGCATTTATTATCCACATTTATTTTCACTGTTAAATCTTGCTAATTACAACACTTATCCATATAGTTATGCCTCGTGCAAAAAAAAAAAACTATTTGTTTATTCTGTAATTTAATTTCTGTCCTTTTGGTTCTGTCAGGATGCAAACTAAAAGTTTGAAACTGTTAATAGACTCCATCTCTCATGCTTGAATTGTATGCCATTAATTTATAATATAATTATAGACTTCATAAGAACTATCATTAGTCGATAGAGCAGTTTCATAAAAACATTAGCGCAATGAAAAATATGAAATGTCTAACTGTTTGATAATACATGAAGGAAGCTGATAGGAGCAAGGTTCTTCAACAAAGGTTACATTGCCTTTGCGGGAGCCGCAAAAGTCAACAGCTCAGTCAACACAGCACGAGACTATGAGGGCCATGGATCTCACACACTCTCAACAATAGGAGGAAACTTCGTTCCTGGTGCAAATGTATTTGGGTATGGTAATGGAACTGCTGAAGGTGGTTCTCCTAGGGCCAGGGTTGTTACTTACAAGGTGTGCTGGCCAGAAATTGATGGTAATGAGTGCTTTGATGCTGACATCATGGCAGCCTTTGACATGGCCATACATGATGGGGTTGATGTTCTTTCTCTCTCTCTTGGAGGGAGTCCTGCGGATTACTTTGATGATGGCCTTGCAATTGGGGCCTTTCATGCTAACATGAGGGGCATCCCTGTCATATGCTCTGCTGGAAATTCGGGACCAACACCTGGCACTGTTTCAAATGTTGCACCTTGGATATTAACAGTTGGTGCAAGCACCTTGGACAGAAAGTTTGACACTGTTGTTGAACTCCACAATGGAAAGAGCTTCAAGGTATATATTTTGTAGTTGAATCTTTTAAAGTAAGCAATTCACTCTAGAGGATAAAGGAAGTATTTTTAATCATTCGTGAAAAAATTAAATGTTGATATTTCATCCTTGATTATCAGGGAGCAAGCCTTTCTAGACCTTTGCCAGAACACAAGCTTTATCCTCTCATCAATTCTGCAGATGCAAAGTTGGCTCATGAATCAATTGAAAACGCGTAAGAACTGCTTTTAAAGACCTTGTTTAACACGTGTGTACAACTTTTCCAATGTGATTTTGAAAGTACAACATAGTATAATTAACATGTTTGTCCTTCGTGTATGTAGTACTCTCTGTTTGCGAGGAACAATTGACCCTGAGAAGGTGAAGGGCAAAATATTGGTTTGCCTTAGAGGTATCATTGCAAGAGTGGAAAAGGGACTGGTTGCTTTGGAGGCTGGTGCAGCTGGGATGATTCTTTGTAATGACAAGCTCAGTGGTAATGAGCTTATTGCTGATCCTCATCTTCTGCCAGCATCACAAATTAATTATGAAGATGGTCTTGCTGTCTATGCCTACTTGAACTCAACCAAGTAACAATTTCTTGATCCCTCGCTCTCTTTAATGCATGCACAAGCATTTCTCTTCACTTTTAACGTGTCTTGATGGTTAATCACATATCACCATTATCATGTAACAGGAATCCTCTAGGATATATTGATCCACCCACGACCAAATTGGGGATAGAGCCTGCTCCAAGCATGGCATCTTTCTCCTCTAGAGGACCCAATACAGTCACACCAGAGATTCTCAAGGTTTTCCATTCGTCCATTATATAATAATGGCTTTCAAAAATCAAATTTTCTTTTCCAAGCAACTTGTGAGTCAATTTCAAATAGTCCTTCGTAACTTGTGGTTTCATTTTCTTCTTCACCTCTTCAGCCTGATGTCACTGCTCCTGGTGTGAACATTATTGCTGCGTACTCAGAAGGGATTAGCCCAACAGAAATGAGTTTTGATAAGCGCAGGATTCCTTTTATCACCATGTCTGGAACTTCCATGTCTTGTCCTCATGTGGCTGGAGTTGTTAGCCTTCTCAAGACTCTCCACCCTGACTGGAGTCCAGCGGCTATTAAATCTGCAATAATGACAACTAGTAAGAGCTTTAGAATATCCATCATCATACTTTATATCTTATGAAGTTATTGGTGCATTCATATATATTTCCTTTAGCACAAACCTTCTATAACTACTTGCTGTGTTGTTTTTCAATGAAAATTCAATGTAACACAACTTATAAGATAAACTCTAACAGGAGTTGCTTGAGTAAGAATCTGTTCGTAACATTAAAATATGATCATTTTAAGTTCTTAAATATTTTTACTATTAGCATAAAAAAAAATTGCTGAAGTTCTTAAATCTAATGTATCATAATAGGACCCACCAAAAAATGAAGTAAGAAATAAAGAAAAGGTGCACCATTGCATATAATAACAGTTACACATGTTGTATTTTTATTGGAAAACAAGAGTTAAAAGTACTTATCTATGGATACCTATATATTGTCTTTTATTTGGCTGACGTGAATTTTTGTTGTGGAAAATGTTATGTTTCAGCTAGGACAAGGGACAACACTGGTAAGCCAATGCTTGATGGGAATTCTGAGAAGGCAACGCCATTTGCTTATGGGTCTGGGCACATCAGACCAAACCGTGCCATGGATCCGGGGTTGGTGTATGACTTGAACAACAATGACTACCTAAACTTTCTTTGTGTCACTGGCTATAACCATACTCAGATAAAAGCATTCTCTGGTGCTCCTTATCATTGTCCTGATGTAATAAGAATCCTGGATTTCAACTACCCTTCAATAACAATACCAGTACTGTACGGCTCAGTTAGTTTGACACGGAGAGTGAAAAATGTTGGGTCACCAGGCACTTACATCGCAAGGCTTAAAGCACCAGAAGGTGTTTCCGTAATTGTGGAGCCTGGAAAGTTGAAATTTGACAAAATTGGTGAAGAGAAGAGCTATAAGTTGACAGTGGAAGTAGAGAGACCAGGTGTGGGAACATCATTTGGAAGAATAACTTGGTCCGATGGCAGACATGAAGTGATGAGTCCAATTGTGGTTGGGGGAGTTAGAGGGTAGATCCATGATCCATCAACTAATAACAGATAAATTAGGATGACATCTTTTTTTGTTTTTCTCATTTCCCGCTTTTATTCTTTTCGGTTTATATTATTAGGGAGATTAGCAAAAGGAAAATGCATAACCTGGGATTGGATTCTTGCCTCTATCATTTTCTACTGATTAGTTTACTCTCACTAGGAAGAACTGCAATTTGTGAATTTGAGGACAAAATAAATTTAGTATTAGATAAATGTTTATTTATTCTTTTTTGGGTTTATTTTGTGCAAATAATTATATGTTAGTCACTTAGTCGTAATATAAATTTCTAAAAAAACAAGTTAATGAATTATCATAAATATATATATATTAAAAAAAAACAAATACGCCAACTGATGCACGTTTTATATAATAAAGATATTAAATATTTTATTTTAAAAATAAAATTTATTTAACTACAATAATTTCAAAATATAGAATCATAAATTTCAAGATTAAAAATAAAATATTTTAAAATAAAAATCAATGTGAAAATTTACAAAAAAATATAATTAATAATGATATTTTTTTGGAAATACATATTTTCCCCCATTTTTCAATAGTCAGATTTACTCTTTAATATCATAACCATCTCTTTTTTTTATTTAACTTCAAAAATACCTTATAGATAAGTAATTACTTTTCTAACTTGACATTTTTTTTTTATTTTAATTATTTATTATTTATCTTCTATTTTAATTATTCTACATTTTATTTTTTATTTAAATAAAATATATAGAGATATGAAGTGTTTGAACACACTAGTAATACTATAAATTTTTAAAGCTATAATAATATGAATTTCTGAGAAAAAATAAGTAAAATATTATGGTTTTTAAAAAAGAGTAATATATATGTGTATATATATATACTTCTATAAAATTTAATTTAAAAATAACATAAATATAAACCATTCCAAAAGGTTTAAAAATTATTAAAATGAAACTATGAAGAAATTAAAAAGAAAAACTGTTTTATTTAGAAGAATTGAAAAAAAAAACATTTTATAAAATAAAAAAAAAAGTTCAAATGATAAAAAAATTGTTAAAAATAAAAATATATAATCAATGCGTCAAAATTTATATATATATATATATACTCCAATAGCCTTTATATCAAGTAAAAGATAACATAATATTCTTTCATGTATCTTATTTATTTAAAATTAGAAGGGTTGAAGCACTTCGTACCTTTAATAATTACAAAGTTGCAAATAATTATTTAAAAAAAATTAAAAATATTTTTTTTTACATTTTAAGAGGTATAATGGTCTACTAAAAAGTGGATACTAAAAGGGTAGTTATGAAAATATATTTCCTTTATAATAGTTATAGATACAAATACAAATCTAATTATAATTTATGAATTTATTCATTTATATTTAATTTGAAAAAGTTATATTTGAAAAAAAAAAGAGAAGAGACGTTGAAAGAGCAAAAGGGAAAATTGCAAAAATTTTAGTGTCATAGTAGAATAATTTTGGCTCGATATCTTGTAACTTGTATATATTTTCATTGAATTGTGAATAAACGCAAGCAATTTCGCACCTCTTCTGTGATATTTGTTCAACCATTTTTGGAAATGGACATTTTAATGGTTATCGAGCAAAATTTAACTCCCAGGTCAACTAAAAATTAAACAATTAAATAGGATATAAGTGGAAAATAACTTTCACCTTATAAGTTTGTTTTGTAAAGATAAATTAAACCTAAATTCATTATTTTAAAAAGGTATCTGAGCTATCCTAGATCCTTAAAATGGATTATTATACACGTACAAGTCTAATAATACTTGATGTAACTCTAACCTTACAAGCCGGTTTTGTAGGAACATATTCTCAAAATTGACACCATGAAAGCTGGAAAAGGTTAATCTTTTCCCCAAATCTTCGACTGATGTGGTGCACGGTCTTGAATCTCTTTTCCCGGAAGATCCTTCCTTGATCATTATGTTTATGCCGCAGATTTATCTGCCTCTTAGTCATTAATTAGTAACACATGCCCTAGGTGGCATTCAACAGCAGATTGATTCTGTTCACTCTCCAATGGTATATGCTGGAATGTTGAATGCTTGTTTTGAACTGATAACATGGTTTCTGCTTTTAATGTTGATTTTCCTTTTGTCTGGTATTGTTCTCTTGCCTCTATAGTTGTAGATTTTATTGTTTATGTTTCGTTAACAACAAATATTTTATTGGAACTTGGTTATAAGTTAGTTGGCACTAATCAGACGTAATTTAAGGAATCTTTGTAGGTTATGGAAGAATAATTTGTTCCTTTGAAACTGTACAATGTATTCAAGAATATACTAATAGTATCTGACCCCCAATTAGAAATGTTTATACTAGGAGAGAAGGATGAACCCAAGGAATCAAGTGGGCAACCTATATTCAATTAGAAACACTTAATTTATTTGAGTCTTGTTGGATCAAAGGTAGAAGTGTTTTTAAGAACTTCTCAATAAAAATAAAGGTTATATGGAGTAGAGAAAAATTTTCAAAAATACTTCTAAACTTGCATTTAATCAGACTCTTAGACTACTTTAAATAAAGACAGAATCAAGTGGACAACCTCTATTTAATTAGAAACAGTTAATTTATTAGACTCTAATTGCATACAAGATAAAAGTGTTTTTAAGAACTTCTCAATAGAAATAAAGGTTGTATTGAGTAGAAAAAAATTCTCAAAAATACTTTTAAACTTGTATTAATCAGACTCTTAGGCTACTTTAAATAGAGACAGAATGTAAAGAGTTAGTTGGTTGAGTTTTAGGATGTTGTAAGCTTCTCTTCTTCTATATATGCACTGTTTAATCTAGAGATGGAATCTGTCCAACAAAATTCTTTTTTCTTCTGTTAATTCCTATTCTGTGAACCAGTATCTATCAAATATATGAAGATTTATGTAGAAATAGGAATTTTTTTTCTTCTTTTATTAACATGAAACTTTTTTAAAAGGAGTGATTTAGCATAAATGACTTATTATAGTATATTCTCTAATCAAAATAACCACATAACTTGGAAACTAGATTTTATTTTATTTCCCACTATGTCAAAGAGTAGAGTTATATTTTTTTCATATTTGCATTGCAGGGGGTAGTTTAATAAAGTACACATATACGTTTATACACATTGACCTGTTGTTATATTTGGCTGAGGACTAATAGATTGATTAGTTAGCAGTAAGGGTATGTGTAGGGCCCGATAGTCCACCCGTTCCTCCACCATAGTATGATATTGTCCGCTTTGGGCCCAAGCCCGCACGGTTTTGTTTTTGGGCTCCTTCCCAAAAGGCCTCATACTATGTGGAATGGTGGACACTTATAAACTAGCCAATGTTCCTTCATTTTACCGATGTGGGACTTGGGATGAATCCCAACAGTATGCTGATCTCTAAAACCTACAGTCTTCTTGATATTCCATTTGATTTTTCTGGTTTCTGGGCCTCACTATCTCCTGTTAGCTGATTTTACATGTTTGAACACCCACATTTTGTTTTATGATGCCACTGGACACAATTAATTCAGCATCATCAATCACTCAAACCTTGAGTAGTCAATTGGCTAATAGCCAGCATGAACTGACACCAGTTTCTGCCCCATTGTCACACATATCAGCCATGGCCTGCATGGGATGGTAAGTTTATGGGTGTCCATAAAAATCAATAAGGATGCGATATGAAAATGTGAAATTCATGAAAATTCTTGATTCTATCCCCTTGAAAGAACTGCTCTTCCATTTTAGGCATCCATCTATGCTTACACACTGAGGAGAGTGATACCCCATGTCTGTGCTAGAGTTCATTTGCAATTCCAACAATAGTTTGGTTCCATGTTTAATCCTAGTTAAGGGTGAAATCACGTCTTATGAGCAATAAACCCACTCCAATTACTCCAACCAGAGAAGACCACATTAGATCTCCACATATTGTTATTGGTTGATGCATCAATTTCCTAGTTTGTATGATTGTATCAGATAGTCATCATGGATAACATTTAATTTCAAACCCTTTCATAACCATGTTGAGTTTAGCAGATGTATTGACAATGGTGCCACTGCCATTAAGCCGAGTTCTTCTGTCTTATCTCAAGTAACTGTCTTGTGACATAAATATCAAGAAAATGTATGTGTGACCAATATTGGATCAAGTGTACCACACACCGGGGCCATTGTCGGAATTTATCAACTATTTATCCATCAGAAACAAGCACAATCTGCCTCCTCATACATGTCATATACTGTGTTATTGAGCTGTAAAGGACTTCATTGTATTTTATCACCAGTGCAGAAAAAGTAAGGGCCAATTTCTGTTTGTATAGAAATCTAGATGGTTTAGAGGGACAAGGAGAACTAGAATATGAAATTATCCTTGTTCCAAGTGATGATTTGTGTAAAATAGTTCCATTTCTTCTGTATCATTTGATAAAAACTGAATTGAACACAAGATTTCACAGGTCACGTAAAGATTTTATTTCTAAAAAGAACGAAACACGTTTCTAAACTCATGATAGCCACTATGAGTAATGTATTAAAACGTGTGAGCATTACCAAATGGATCATTTGATAGTTGAGTGGTCCCATTGAGGTTTCTGTTTTGAGATAGATTATGACTATGGCATGGGTCATTCTAAGAGAAAACGGCCTACCGCAAACAGCATGGATCTCAAGCCACCGCGTACCAATAACGGTCTCAATAGTTCGTTACCAAAAAAAAATAAAAAGAAAAGAAAAAGTGGGTTGGTTTGAAATCATTTTCACGCCTAAAATAACTATAAAAGCATGAAAACGCAGAGTTGTTGGTTGCGTTGAAATGAAAGCTACAAAACGCGATCTTCCGTGATTAGGAGCGAAGAGTAGGAAACGTTAAATGTAAAGCCCCTGGCCAAAATTAGAGACGCAAAAGAAGGAACCGATCCCTATCTCAAATTACTTTTGTTGGCATGAAAAAAAATGTGACAAGTGTGCTCATGCATGTGTTTGTGTTTGTGCGATGAGTTGAGAGACGGTTTTAGCTTAATATGTATGGCGTGGCGTGTGTGTAACGATTACCATTTATAATCTTTTTACATAAGCATACGTTACCCCCCACATGATATACATACATACATAATACATTCCTCGCTCTTCATTGCCCTCAAGACTCGTCTAAAGGTTCCCAACTATACCCCCATTACTCTTTCCATCATCAATCATTTCTATAATCTATTGCATTCATTCTTGTAATGTTGTTCAATGTTCAACCCATACGTGCAAAGTTGATTCAATCTGAATGCATGCATGACTATCTGAGGTTTTGTGTTTGATCATGTGAAAATTAAGTTGTGTTTGTTTGTATATTTTGCATTTTGCAGTGAGAATTTAGAAATGGAGCAGGAGAGGATGAAGAGAGCAAGAGAAGGAAATGAAGAAAGTGAGAATAACAAGGCAAAGAAAAGAGATGTGAGTGGCATAAAGTTGACGAATGAGGTGGGAAAAGAGAAGGAGGGTTTTTCTTCCGAGATGGGACTTGGGGTATTCGATTTCCCTTGGCTGAAAGATGGTGTCACGTCTATATCAGAGGACTATTCGTTGGATTTTGAAGACAAATTATCGTCATTGCTAGAACAAGAAGACGCTGCTGCTAGTATTCATCCAATGGCTCATATTCCAGAAGCCAATAATTTGGAGGATCTTACATGGCAGACATTTGAAAGTGACATGTTGAAGTTGGAAGCAGAAGATGTGGATTGCATTTGGAGCTTTCTGCTTAATCAAACTCTCTGAACGCTCATTCAGCTAGCATGCTTGTTTTGTTTCATGTTAATTAATAGTTCATCTTAGGTGAATTAATTAGGTGGTGTTTTTCTTTCTCTTCCAATTTAATTTAAACCATTTCCTTTCTGCATACCTCTTAAAGCCACTCTCACCAATTTTGTCTCCTCCTTCCATTAAATTGCATGGACATACACATATATTTAAGTTTGAGTTAAAATTGTGAATAAAATATTAAAAATTGAACCTAGAAACTCCGAAAATAGAGAGTGAAAAGTCATTGACTTTCGTAACCTAAACCGACCCACCTATTACAGGTCACGTAGAACATCCACTCCACCGTTTGCTTGAAATAGTAAACACAAACCAAAGAACTCATGCTTGTTTTGTATTTTTTTTATTTTTTATTTTAAGAATTTAGTCTTTACACCAGATCTCCGTACACGCGTTTCTTGTTCTATTTGTGTCCTAAGAACTAGCCACCAAATCCTTTACAACACTAGTAGCTAATTCTAAATGGCCTAGATTGTATCAACAACAGTTGCTGACATATTTTGTCAAATGGGTTTTCTAAATTACTTTTTTTTTCTTATTTTATTTAACTGATTTAATATCATCTTTTATTTTGTTTTTAACAGCACAAACAATATGATCTTTTATTATTAAAATGTTAAATTTGCTTCTTTAATTTAAAGAAAATATAATATTTTTTTTTATCAATTTACTGTGAGTTTGATCAATCGTTAAAGATGTGATTTTTCACGTCTAAACCAAAACTAGTAGTATGGTAGTTTCTCTATCTTTAATGTGGATTTCATTTCAAACATGACTACTTAACATATAACTAAACACACACTTAAATTAACATTGTTAACGTTTTGTACATATTATACAATAAAAGAAATGATAAAAAATCGTCATGTGTGTGATATTGTTAGTTTAAATTAAACAAAAAATATTATATTATTTTAAAAATAAATGATCAAATTAAATTTTTTAATGATAATGAGACTAAGTTAATTAAATAAAAAATTGTACTAATATATATTAAATTTTAAGTTCAAACTTTATGTTGAAAACAAAACAGTTCAAGCTTTGTTTTATATTTATAATCTTTTATATGGATAAAAAGTTAATATATATATATATATATATATATATATATATATTAAAAGAGTAATTAGCGAATCGGTTTACATCAAAAGTTGATTAGGCTGCGTCAAATTAAAAGTCTTTCTTTTGGTTAAATGAGTTTACCTATAAATTTGCTCTAGGGTCTGAACTTATGCAAAAGTAATTAGTTATTGATATTAGTGTGTTTATTTTACATCGTGATATCAGTGTTTAAAATTACAAACATGGCTAATTTAACTTTTTTAATGACAGAAAGGAAAAATTAGTTTATGATTTTAATCACTATCAGTTAATTTATTAGTCTTTAAAATTAATATCACTAATTAATCGGTTAGATCTTTATTTTTATAAAATTAATCAATTTTTAATTCTTAAATTTGACAATGCTATTACTTTGTTATCTAAATTTGTTAACCATAAATCAATTTAGTAAATTAATTTAACATATGTTCAATTGGTCTCTAATTAATAACCAGGGACTGAATCAGTTAATATGTAATAAAATTAAGATAAAATAATTATTATTAAAATAAAAAAATTAAATTAGGGAATCTATAATCATAGGAAATAAAATGTGATAAATCGTACATGAGAATATAATTTCCTTAAATTCTTTTTTTTTTATCAATTTTGATTAAGAATGACAAAATTACCCGTATATGTGGATATCTATAGATAAAATTTGTCAATATAAGTAATAAATGGATAACCTAAATGAATATTTTTGGATAAGTAACCAAACCAGGGTGGATATGACAGTATTCATATTCACAGATACCCCCTAAATAATATTACTTAAATATTCATATTTTTATCTTATATTTTTTATATTATTTTTAATATTTTTAAAAAATTACCATTAATTTCTATTTTGAAAATTAATATAATTATTTATCTTTAATATTTTAATATACTTAACATCAAATACAAACTTAAATTTATTTATAATACTTTTGAAATTTTTAAAAAAATTCACAAGTATTGATGAATACTCGTATGATATTTATAAAATTCACGATTACCCACTTAATAGATATCCGCATAAATTTGGTAGAGTATAAGGTAGAAGTTTAACTAAAGGGGTAAATATAAGTACCTCAGTATTCGTCCCATAGAACCCATTGTTATCCCTAATTTTGATCCTAAAGACCTTTGTGTACCTTGATTAAATGTTTTAATTGTCAAATAAGAAAAGAGCATTAATTTAAATACAGGGTAATAGTGACTATTGAGTATATAAAAAATAATATTTAATTTATGAATATAGGTATTGATTATCTCATGATTAAATTTAACAAGAAAGATGATTATAGAAAGGTTATTGAGATGATCTTTGATAATCTTTCAAGTTATAAGATAATAGGACTATCGGCTCTTGGAAGTTGCTTTGGAAGCTTCCTCTTGCTAAACCCATCGTATTCTTCATGAAGCAGTTGTGACACCAAGTCCCCTATGCTTTCAGTGCTTGCCTCAATTCCAAACTATAGGATGCAAGTTCAGTGGTTGTCGCAGGGAATATGTCATATGTGAGAAGTTGGATGGACTCGATTGGCGTTTCATTTGGAGTGGAGAAGGGGATTAGAAGATGCACCTGGTTGATTGGGAAACACTTACTCGACACTGAAAGCATAGGGGACTTGGTGTGAAGCATATACCATTCTTTCTCAAGATCTGGTTGAATGGCTGCAGTGCCTAAATATCTGGCTCCATGATTCTACAACAGATGTCATTACATGGCAACGATGACATGTCAGGTGTGTATTCAGCCAGAGAAGGTTATCACTGGTTGCATGAGCATCATGATAATAGGACTATCTCGGCTCTTGGAAGTTGCTTTGGAAGCTTCCTCTTGCTAAACCCATCGTATTCTTCATTTGGCACGAAACACGCTTCCCAGTAGGAGTTTCCTACGTCATCGCCATGCGTGTGCTTCTGATCTTTGCACACAATGTGGGCATGGGAGGGAAGATACAACTCATGTTCTGTTCAACTGTGGGGTTGCACCTTAGGGATGGAGAAAGCTAGGTATGTCTACTTTAAGAGAACTAACAAATGGAGAGTGGCTCAATTGGTTGAGAGATTGCTTTGACAATTTTAGCATCCAACCTTTCATTGTTAATTTGTGGGGTTCTTTGGAAGACTCGAAACGAACATGTTTTTAATTCAATGTTACTGGTTGGTGGAGTGTATTATAGCATGTCCAATCTTTGCATGTCACCATGCAGCGTGCGTATGTTCCCCCTTTTTTGTTGTAGTGCGTGTTGCTTTGGTTGATAAGTAGGTGACGTGTTTTAAGGCGATTGGGCAACATGTTTTTTTACATGTTGATGGTAACTCTTTGGGTCAACGAGGTCCGACTGGTGCTGGTGGGCTCTTTCATGATGTAAAGGAGAGATTTATTAGTGACATTGGCATAGCAGATAATACTCGAGCTAAACTTCTTACCCTACTCCGGGGTTTTGAAATTGCTTGAAAATAAGGATATACTCATGTAGTTTGTTGTTCAGACTCTATTCATGCCCTGTCGTTACCAACTGAGTCTCTCGACAACCTTTCCATAGATATGCAATTATTATAGATTATGTACCGTGGGGGAGCTCAAGGTGAGCCGACCTTAGACATCACCCATATTAAAGTGATCATATCTTTTGTGTAATAAAACAGAATCATGTTTGGAAACAAAAGCTGATTCATTCACTTGATTCAAACTGATTGGAAAGCTATTATCGCACATTTCAACCTCAATAACTTTTGAATCATTTGAATCCAATATGATACAACCATTGTTTTTAAATGAAAGAGAATATCCTCTCTTCATTAGTGGGGCAACACTTAGCAAATTCTGATCCAAATTAGGAATAAATAAAACATCATGAATAAATTTAGGACCTTTGCTAGTGTGAATAGAAACTGTACCTCTTCCTTCACCTTATACAATATCTCCATTTCCAAGCTTAACTTTGGTTTGGACAGCCCTATCCAAAGTAGTAAA